GCTTCAAAGGCACGAAAGAAAGTCTTTTCTGCATAAAATTATGACTGGCGATGAAAAGTGGATTTGTTTTAAGAATCTAAAATGTACAAAATCATGGGTTGATCCAGGTCAACCATCAACATCAAATGCAAGGCCAAATCCCTTTAGGAAGAAGACAATGATCTGTGTTTGGTGGGATCAGGAAGGTGTGGTGTATTATGAGCTTCTAAAACCAGGTGAAACCCTTAATACTGATGGCTACCGACAAGAAATAATCAATTTGAACCATGCTTTGATCGTGAAATGCCCAGAATGTGCCAGAAGACACGGTAAAGTAATTTTGCTTCTTATAATGCAACATCACACACTTCAAAACCATATTCACCAGACTTTGCTCCTTCAGATTACCACTTGTTTCAATCAATGGCACACTCACTTTCTGAGCAGCACTTCAAAATATACAAAGACGTGGAAAATTGGGTCTCTGAATGGTTTGCCTCAAAACAAGAAAAGTTCTATTGGGACGGTATTTACAAATTATCTGAAAGATGGAAGAAATGTGTAGCTAGTGATGGACATTACTTTGAATAAGGTAGTTTTGATGTTTCTCTTGAAATTATCGTGTTTTCTTTGATTACAAAATCCGCCATTGTTAACTGGTACACCTAATAGCCTATCTAATAATACGCGAACATGGTAATTGACCAAACCTTTGCTACACCTACCATTGGCTAATCAGCACGATATGCAAATTAACCCAACAAAGATGGCAGCCAGCAGTCGCACAACTGAAGCAATCAGGAGGCTTGCTTGCTCCAGTGATGGAGGAAGCCAAAGTTCCCCACCTGCCGTGGCCTGGCTCTGAGCTCCGAAAGCAACAAAGTTTCAATTATAGAAGCTAAACAAACCCCAGATACCTGCTTTCAGCCAGATGTGGCCACAGTGCTGGAGCGAGCAGGAGCTGCTTTCAACTCCAGTGATGGCAATAAAGTTTCAATTATAGAAGGTAAATAAATCCCAGAATTAAAAAAAAAAAAAAAAAAAAAAAGGAGAGGCTGTGAGCTTCAGTCGCTGGCCAGCCTGAAAACGGCCCTCAGCCCCTCACCCAGACTGACCAGGCACCCCAGTATGGACTACCACTCTAAAGGGGGTGTGGCCAGCCCGCAAAAAGCCATCAGCTCCTCATCCAGGCTGGCCAGGCACCCCAGTGGGGACCCCCACCTAGATCCGGGACACCCTTCAGGGAAAACAGCTGGCCCCCACCCGTGCACCAGGCAGCTATCCTATATAGTAAAAGGGTAATATGCAAACTGACCCTAACAGCAGGAAGACTGGGAATGCCTGGTCACTATGACACACACTGACCACCAGGGTGCAGACACTCAATGCAGGAGCTGCCCCCTAGTGGTCAGTGTGCTCCCACAGGGGGAGCTCTACTCAGCCACTAGCCAGGTGGATGGCTGCCAGTACAGCGGTGGTGGTAGGAGCCTCTCCTGCCTCCTCAGCAGCGCTAAGGATGTCCGACTCCAGCTTAAGCCTGCTCCCCGCTGGCAAGTGGACAACCCCCGAGGGCTCCCAGGCTGCCAGAGGGAAGTCTGATTGCCAGCTTAGGCCCAAACCCCCGGGAAGCGGGCCTAAGCCAGCAGGTGGACATCCCCCCAGGGGTCCCAGACTGCGATGGGGCAAAGGCCAGGCTGAAGGACCCCCCCTCCCTGAGTGCACAAATTTTTGTGCACCAGACCTCTAGTGTCAATATAATAGACAACAAAAATTTGCTAACTAATCACTACTAAAAGCTTTATAGTTGTATGTACAAGTATATAATTCAACTCAAACACCAGTAAAAATATTACAATGTTAATTCCAATTCTCTATCAGACTTCCTGTGATAAAGCACAAAAGTTAAATGTAGAAACTAACATCTGGGTATCGGTCAATTTTTCTGGAAGGCTATTTCAAAGTGGCCTAAATTAGCCAGAATATAATGTGAATTCTTATCACAATGCCACATAACATTAAAATATATTGATAACTTAGTAGTTTTAATTCTGTTCTATGGAATAAGCCTATTTTGACAACTTTGCACAATATTACCAATAAATTTAACAAAAAGCTCAAGTCCAGGTATATAACTAAAAAGTCTTTTCTATATATTACAAAACCATCAACTTTAATATAAATGGCTTCTACTAATTACTACCACTCAAAATTCACACAAAGTAAAGTGAAACGGGTAGCAGAAAGTGCTGGCACATTTATAGTGCAGAGACAATGATAGAATTTAGCCAGCAAAAATTCAAATAGGCATATAGGTAAACATTCGAATGCAAACTTTCGTGAGTAAGACACAGAAAATGATTCATTTGATACTTTTTTGTACGGCTTGTATATAATTCAAAACAAGTTCATCTGAAAATTTCCTATGTAAAAGCCACAATAAAGTCAAATAAAATATCAAATACTAGTCTTACAAACTGGTCTGCGAATTTCTGAGCCTCTGACTTTCAAGGCCTAACACGCATTCTCCACTTTGGCCACGCTCTGTCTCAAGGTATACAGCTTCTTAGAAACCTGGTAAGGTCCAGTATTGCCAATGAATGAAAACCCAGCATAAACCTGGCGTAAGAACTGGCTCACTTCAAAGGGGGTGTCAATGTCCCCATTGCCCACACTGTTCACACACATCAGCATCAACTCACCAGTTAGATCAGCCACTCCCAGGAGGTAATCAACAGGGGTGGTGTTCAGTCTCCAAGTACCAAACTCTCTATCTTGAGCATTGAGCATCGGAAGAGGGCTTCTATCCTCCAGTCTCAGATGATGAGTTGTCCCTCCTCATGTTTTGAGATTAACTCTTCCAAATGACCTTGGTCCTCTCCTCCCACCTCTTCCAGGACCTTGTCTCATAAGGGGCATGCCCTTGGGCAAGCTATTTCATCTCTCTAAACCTCAGTTTCCTCATGGTCTTATTTTCTTTCCCATTGTCTTCTGTTGTAAATACAGTTGTTTATTAATTTCATCCATACTGATAAGTGATTGTGTTTTAATAAAGTGTTGAAAAGAGACAGTCTCTACATATTCCTGAAGTCTGTGGTAAGTCCTGTGGTAATGGCTCTATGGAATTAATGCATCTCTTCTCTGGAGAGCTCCTGGGCCACCTGCAGTATCTTTTGTCTGACACCATCTAATTTAATTTCTGACTCAGTCAATATTTCCTCCATATCAGGAGCACTTGTAATCCTATAGAGAGGAAAATTATCATTTACTTTGTACAGTTACATCCCGACTAAGTTTCACAAGTCTCTCATATTTGTCATGTCTTGCATCAAGTTCCTGCTGAAATGATTTTAAGGCCACCAACACGGGCAACAATGCATTAACATCCTACCCTTCTCTCCTCTGGCTGTGGGGAAAATTGTCATGCTTCCTTTTCCTGAACCCTCCCAATCCTTCTTTGTTGCTCATGTCATCACAACCTACAGTGAGTCGCATAGAGAAAGAGGGTCTTGGACCTGGTGTAGTGCATGAGTCAGGGGAGCGGGAGAACGAGCCTGCCAGGGCCCTATGACAAGTCGAAGGAGCTGAGCTGGAAGCTGCTTCTGGCTTTTGCATCGCCTTCTTGAAAACAGGTGATTTTGACAGTATTTTTATTAACGCTGGGGACAGTGGAACAAAGGAAGGACTCAGGGTAGTAGAAGTAACAGGAGAGAGCCTAGGCAATGCTCTGCTTTGACTCTCTGGAAAGATTATAGGAAAGAAGTGAGCCAACATGGGACTGCTTAGCTCACTGGAGAGTCAGAGAAAAGGGGCCTTGGATACAGGATCAGGGGGTCAGCCTGGAAGGAGCTGCTGCTGCCTGCTGCTCCCCTGGTTGCAAGTCTCTGTGGGGACCCACAGAGTTTAGGAGAAAGAAAGGCTCCGAGACTATGAACCTGAAAAGTTATTGCTTTGTAAACAATCCATTCTTTCAATATTGCCAAATTTGTCTTTTTGCCCAAAAAATTTATGACAGATATTACATATTGTTCTGATTTTACATTTAATATAATTAAAAAGGAACCTAAACAAATGACCTTAGCAACAATATTTCAACAAATATTCCAACAAATATTGCACTGAAAGAATTTTCACAACACATAGTCAATAAACAAATTAAAATATAATAAACTGATATAAAGTCTCTGTGTCTTTCTGATTATCAATTAAAATCCAATTATTTCTTTATAGTTTAAAAAACAGTCCAACTATCTAAATAAGCCAAGATATATCAGGTACACATAGGACTAATAAAATTTCTTTCCAAAGTTTAAAATTAACAGAACATTTTGGGCCACATATTTATAAAAGGTTAAATCTTTAATTCAACATTTAAATAGAAAAAGTTTTTAAAATACTCCCCAAATAAAATCCTAACTTCAAAATAAGATGTATAAATCATCATTACTATATGGTTTTTATAGCCATAATAAATATTGATAAAATATAGATTAAGTAGCACTTGTTTCCTTCATGAAAAGGAAAACTAATAATTTTAAAAAGGTGATTTTCATGTCTAAATTCCAGAAGACATGTTTTTCAGAAGACATGAAATAAATAATGGTTTTCCCTCCAGACCTATTTTAGGCACAAGCTTATATATAAACATACATGTGTCCATTCAAAAAATGTGATATTTCAATTAGAGTCTCTGTTAACTGATACATAGACAGATACTTTGAAAGTCACGAGGCCTTATTATGACCTTCATGTATGCTGATGGATGCTGGACTAACAGCTTCAGAGAAAGAAACACCTTCACGGAAAAGGGGCTCCTTTGTCCACCTTGGCTACAATATTTCAGCCTCCAGTATTTCAGCTTCCATTCTGAGGCCCTGAAACTGGGTAGAGAGGGGCAGACAGAACTATCCAGAAGTCACCAGAGCCATCACAAAAGAATGAAACAGTCCCTCTGGGCATTGACTGGCTTCTAAAGGTTGTCCTGAAAGCAAAATTCTTAGCCTCTATTTTATCTTTTATAGGAATGTTTTGGAAATTAATGCTGTTTTAATAAAGCCACATCTACATCTTAATTAGTAATACAACAGACTCTGTGTATATATTTTCACTCTCTTCAATATTCATAGTATAGTTCATTGAGATTCAAGGTTGATCGATGTTTCTCTCTCATCAATGTTTCTAACTCTCCATCCTTCTCACTTCCTCTCTGTAAAAAATCAATAAAATATATTTAAAAAATAAATAAATAAAATAAAACAAAATAACAAAAGTCAAGTGAATAAAAAATCTGATGAACAGAATAAACTGGTGAATATAATAGAATCAGGGGCATAGAAAGGGAGTGGACTGACAATTCTCAGGGGGAAAGGGGTGTTGGGGTGTGGGAAGAGACTGGACAAAAATCGTACACCTATGGATGAGGACAGTGCGGGGGGGGGGGAGGTAAGGAGGGGAGCTATGGGGGGTGGGGGAGGAAGAGGAACAACTGTAATAATCTAAACAATAAAGATTTTTTTTAAAAAAAAATTAGCCTGCTATCAAACATTTAATTAACTCACCACTAGTGCCTTGGCAGGGCCAGACCAAATGGTCTCTGGGCCGTATATAGCCCCCAGGCCAGACATTCCCCACCCCTGGATTAGAGTATTGGTGGTGGGGGGGAGGTTGATAATGTTATTTGATTATATAAGATAAATTCTTTTTTGCAAGAAATACATATTTGAGTATTAAGGTTAAAGCAGTATCATGTGCAACTTACTCTCAGAAATAATTATATGTTAAATAGAGATACACATATACACAGATTTAAAATAGAGGAAAAAAGAAAGTTAGAGAAGTAAATGTAAAATAAGAAATCTTGGCAGTTTTGAAATCCTGGGCCATCCCCCTCACCAATCTCTGCAAAGGCAGCTTCTGGATCAGAAGCCCTGTAGATTTCTGGTATCTGACGGATTTCTCCAAGTGCAATAGTACAGGGCCTGTAGTGATGGGGCTTCTTCACCCCACCGGTAGAGGGAGTGCTTTTCCTGGCAGCTTTTAGTGGCCAGCTGTTTGCGTGTGCTTTCCCAACCATGCTTTGCAAGCAGTCTGCTTGGTTCGGGCCATTTTCTTTCACTCCACGCAGAAGTTTTAGGCCGCTTCTTAATCTGTCATCCTGCTCCTGCTGCCCAAGGAGACCCGCAGTCCAGGAGCTAAGGGCACGGACTGCCCGATCAAATAACGGAACCAATTTTTTCTTCCTAAAACATTTTTAATGAGATGTATTAGCTATTGCACAGATTCTGCCTTGGAGTCCCCTACCCCCACCCCAAAAATGAGGGCAATTTAATATCTAGAACCACTGTAAGCCACATATCTACACTGGTCTCTTAGACTTCTTTACCTTGAGTTATTTTATTTGCTGTTTGGTAAGCAGTTAGGGGTAAATATGTTTGGAAAGCTGTCTTAGTTGGGAAACACCAATGAGAGCTAGAGATTCCGATTTAATGGAGAAATATGGTTGAAAGCTAACCCTTTAAGCTGTTAACAAAATGTGAGCACCTCGGGGAAGGAATTCCCCGCTCTGAGCTGTGGTTCTATGTGTGAGGACAACAATGCAGCCCATACACAGTTCAAAGGCCTGGTTCACAGTGAGACCTGTATGTCAGGATGAGTCACAGAGGCCTTACAGGGCATCTCCCCAGAGTCCCAAGCTACCACATAGGGGTCTAATGAGACAGTTCTTCCCTGACACAACATCAGAAAAAGCCACACACCACACACATATCACACTCAGATTCCCCCCAGCATCGATCCTGAGAACTCTCAAATATCATCCACTGGCAAAAGATCCCGGAACTCCCAGAGTCAATTCCAAACCACAGGGCTAAACTTGGCTTTGGCATCCGCCTTACCTTGTCCAACATACAGTCAGTACAATGACTGCTACTAATACACTACAGCAAACAGCAATAATCAAAGTAGCAGTAGTCCCCCAGGCATTTCCCATCTCAGATCCTGCAGAAAGAGAAGGCAAACATTAAAAGGAAACCTACATGCAGGGGCCAAAGTGATCACACAACTACTGCTAAGATATCTGTGGTCATGTGTTATTTCCCTGTCATAGATATAACCACTAATCATGTGCCACATTTCTTATCATTCCTATCACATACACCCCCACACATCAAATAGTGTGTTTAGCAACTGAGAGAAATACATGGCAATATGGAACATGTGCAGTATGCCGTGCACATGTTCAAAGCTTCCACACTACATCATCTTACATCACCATACACTGCTATATATGGAATATCTATGTCTCCCCAAAATTCATATGTTGAAATCCTAACACCCAATGTGATGGTATTAGGAGGTGGGGCTTTTGGGCTATCATTAGGTCATGAGGGAGGAGCCCTCGTGAATAATTAGTGCCCTTATATAAGAGGCCCTAGAGAGATTCCCTTATCCCTCCACCATGTGAGGATACAAGAAAGCTGTGACCCAGAAGAAAGCCCTCACCCAGCAGTTTTTATTGTATTTATTTATATTTATTTATTATAGTGGCCACAAGTCACCAACACAAATCTCCTACATTATATTATACTAGAGGCCCAGTACACAAAAATTTGTGCACTCTGGAGGTGTCCCTCAGCCTGGCCTGTGCCCTCTTGCAGTCAGGGGATAACTACCTGCTGGCTGAGCCAGCTCCCCAGGGGATTGAGCCTAAGCTGGCAGTCAGACATTCCTCTGGCAGCCCAGGAGCCCTCAGGGGATGCTCACTTGCCAGCGGAGAGCAGGCCTAAGCTGCAGTCAGACATCCTTAGTGCTGCTGAAGAGGCAGGAGAGGCTCCCACCACCACCGCTGTACTGGCAGCAGTCAGCCAGGCTTGTAACTGAGCAGAGCTCCCCTTGTGGGAGCGCACTGACCACCAGGGGGCAGCTTCTGCATTGAGCGTCTGCCCTCTGGTGGTCAGTGTGTGTCATAGTGACCAGTCATTTCCAGTCATTCTGTTGTTGCATATTACCCTTTTATTATGTAGGATAGAGGCCCGGTGCATGGGTGGGGGTAGGGTGGTTTGCCCTGAAGGGTGTTGCAGATCAGGGTGGGGGTCCCACAGGGGTGCCTGGCCAGCCTGGGTGAGGGGCTGAGGGCCGTTTTCAGACTGGCCACACCCCCTTCAGGGTGGGGGGTCCTATTGGGGTGCCTGGCCAGCTTGGGTGAGGGGCTGAGGGCCGTTTTCAGGCTGGCCACAGCCATTTCATGGTGGGGGTCCTGCTGGAGTGCCTGGCCAGTCTGGGTGAGGGTAAGATGGCTGTTTGCAGGCTGACCAAGGTCCCCAGTGGGGACCATCACCCCAGGAGGGTATAGCTAGCCTGGGTGAGAGGCTGATGGCTGTTTGCAAGCTAGCCACAGCCCCTTCAGGGTGGGGGTCGCAGCCGGGGTGCCTGGCCAGCCTGGGTGAAGGGCAGATGGCTGTTTGCAGGCTGACCAAGGCCCCATTGGGACCATCACCCCATGAGGTTATAGCTAGCCTGGTTGAGGGGCTGATGGCCATTTGCAGGCTGGCCACAGCCCGTTCAGGTTATGGGTCCCCCGCTGGGGTGCCTGGCCAGCATGGGTGATGGGCTGATGGCTATTTGCAGGCTGGCCACAGCTCCTTCAGGGTGGTGGTCCCACCTGAGGTGCCTGGACAGCCTGGGTGAGGGGCTGATGCCTGTTTGCAGACTGGCCACCGCTCCAGTCATCCAAGCTCCCAGTGGACGCTGGCTGGAAGCAGGTATCTAGGTTTTATTTATCTTCTATAATTAAAACTTTGTTGGCTTCAGCAGAGGCCAGATCCAGCCAGGGCAGGCAGGAAGCTTGGCTTCCTCCATTGCAGGGGCAACCAAGCCTCCATGGTTACAGGGTGCCATTTTGGTTGTGTTAATTTGCATTTAGTCACTCTGATTGGCAGGTGGATGTGGCGTGGGGCATAGCAAAGGTACAGTCATTTGGCATGTTTCTCTTTTATTATATCACTAGAGTCCTGGTGCACAAAAATTTGTGCACTCGGGGGGGAGAGGGGGTCCCTCAGCCCGGCCTGTGCCCTCACACAATCTGGGACCCCTCGGGAGATAACCACCTGCTGGCTTAGGCCTGTTCCCAGGTGGCAGAGGGCAGGCCCAATCCCTAGGTGCAGCCCCTGGTTGGGCTCAGAGCAGGGCCAATTGGGGAGTTGGGGCGCCGTCCCCTGTCATGCACAGAGCAGGGCGGATCGGGAGGTTGCGAGGCCACCCCCAGTCACGCTCAGGATAGGGTCGATTAGGGGGTTGGGGCACCTCCCCCTGTCACACTCAAGGCAGGGTCGATGGGGAGAATGCGGCGCCACCCCCTGTCACTCACAGAGCAGGGCCCATCAGGGGGGTTGGGGCTCCGTACCCTGTCATGAACAGAGCAGGGCGGATAGGGAGGTTGTGGCCCTGCCCCCTGTCACACACAGAGCAGGGTCCATGGGGGGGGGGGGGCGGGTTGGGGCGCTGCACCCTGTCACACACAGAGCAGGGCCGATCAGGGGGTTGGGGCGCCGCACCCTGTCACACACAGAGCGCAGGGCGATCAGGGGGTTGGGAGCTCCCCCCTATCAGGCACAGAGCAGGGCTGATGAGGGGGTTGAGGTGCCTTCCCCTGTCACGGACAGAGCAGGGAGGATAGGGAGGTTGTGGCCCCGCCCCCTATCACACACAGAGCCACAGGGCGATCAGGGGGTTTGGGCGCTGCCCCCTGTCACGCTGATCCCGGTGCTGGGAGGCCTCGCAGCTCCACTGATCCCAGTGCTGGGAGGCATATTACCCTTTTACTATATAGGATAGAGGCCTGGTGCATGGGTGGGGCTGGCTGGTTTGCCCTGAAGGGTGTCCTGGATCAGGGTGGGGGTCCCCACTGGGGTGCCTGGCCAGCCTGGGTGAGGGGATGATGGCTGTTTGCAGCTGGTCACACAATCCTCAGGGTGGGGGTCTCCAATGGGGTGCCTGGCCAGTCTGGGTGAGGGCCTGAGGGCTGTTTTCAGGCTGGTGGGTGACTGATGCTCCCAACTGCTCCTTTTTATCTTTTTTCTTTTTATTCTGGGCCAGCTTTAGCTCTGAGGCTTGGGTCCAGCTCTTAGGCCTCCGCTGCTGAATGCAAGTTTCTGGCCTTTGTTTACCTTCTGTATTTGAAACAATGTTGCGATCCTGCTGGCTGAAGCCTGGCGACTAAAGCAGGTTTCTGGGGTTTTGTTTAGCTTCTATATTTGTAACATAGTTGCTTAGAGTTGCAGCTCAGAGGCCGGCAGCAGCAGCATGCGGGGAACGTTGGAGTCCTCCGTCACTGAAGCAAGCAAGCCTCATGTTCGCTTTAAGCTGCCTGGCTGTCGGCCGCCATCTTGGCTGGCAGTTAATTTGCATATTGCCCTGATTAGCCAATGGGAAGGTTAGCGGTCGTATGCTAATTACCATGTTTCTCTTTTATTAGATAGGATATCATATCATATCATCTCACCTCATCTCATCTCATATCATATTATATTATACAAAGCATATTTCAATTCCAAATTTCCCATATCCCACACATATTCTACACACACCACACTCATACACATCCCTGGGCCTTGCTTCCCAAAACAATTCCTCTCTCCCTCCAGGACCACTCGAGGCCCCATCTGGCAAAATCAATCAGCCACTGCCTCCCTAACCCCTCTCAGCTCTAGGCAGATGCATTTGACCTGCAAGATCATCCCCACCCAGGACTAGAGCCATGACCGTGGAAACTAAGATACGAGCTCAATTAACCCAACCCACCAGCGGGGGAGGGGGGGAAAGGGGGTGGGGTGGGGTTATGTAGTGAGCTATATTGTCTTAAGCTCAGGACCTAGTGTGCCTGGGGAAAGGCCTTGGCATGTGCAGGACTCCCTACTATAGACTCCCCAGATTGAGCACAGAACTATTGATTCGACTTCTACCAGCCAACAGTTTGCAGTGGCCCTAGAGCCTGGCCAGAAGAGTTGCTGGTAGGGTTGGGTCTCTGGCCCCTGATAGTCCCTTATCCTCAGGGGGCATGGACAGGATCCTATCCCCTTTCTCCTAGTAGCTGACAAGCTTCCCATTCCAGGTCATACAGACCATCCAGCTCCTTAAGCTGCCATAAGTTACCAGCAACGCTGAGGACGCTTGTCACCACTCTCTAGCTGTTAGGCCATCCACCCTGGCTTAGGGACCTAGCCTGGACTGCTGACTCTGGGGCTGAAGTAGGCCAAAACGAGTTTTCTCTCCTTCCCCATTGGTCCCCATTTTGGCCTAGACTAACTGGGAACCTGAGTGTTACGTTATACCCCCTCAAGGTTAAGAGTAAGGTTAACGTTTAGAGGATGCTTACCTGTCCCAGGCAGGGTGAAGTTCAACATACTTGAGGTGGACAAGGATATGTGACTTGTCACACATTGGTAGGTGGTCACATTGTGCTCCAGAGAGTGGTTCAGCCTCAAACTGCTGGTGATGTTAAATGTGCCGTCCTCATTCTTGACGGCTGGACCATTGGTGATGCCTTCAGAAATCTCCTGGCACTGGGGATTCTCCTGGGTACATATACACCAGGTTATGTTAATGTCCTTTGGGTAGAACCCACTTGCATTACACAAAACATCTTCGTTGCCATCATCTTTCGCCGTGGCTTGTTCTTGAAACAAGGTGCAATTTGGGGAAGCTGGCAAGGAAGAGAAGTCATGATTTGAGGGTAGGTTGGGACTAGCTCATTATCAGTTCAAAGCCTGACCCATAGCAAGCCTTCAGGAAGGGTGAGTGAGGCAAATGAGATTCTGCTTAGCCTAAGTAATCTGGGGATGCTGATCCCAGGGCGAGTGTGACGCTGATAGACCATGACCCCGACTCTC